ATATATATATATATATATATATATATATATATGACAAAAACTGAACAAAATACAAAATAACAACAAACACCTAAATATTGTTAAATATGTTTTGTTTACTTGTGTTCCTTAGTATGTTATTAAAGGTATTCATCGTAAAAGATTGCTAATAATCACATTTCTTTGTCTCTGTTCTCACAGGTGGCTTTAGACAGTAGCATTCCTATTAAATTTAAAGTTCAGGCCCTGGTCTACCCCGCGCTTCAGGCCCTGGACTTCAACACCCCCTCGTACCAGCAGAACGCCAACATGCCCATCCTAGACAGACCAATGGTGGCCCGCTTTTGGCTGGAGTACCTAAACGGCGAGCAGAAACTTGTTCCTGCTTTGCTGGCAAACAACCACACGGCTCTGGATCAGGGTCAGGAGATAGCAGCAACCAAAGCCAAGACTGACTGGACCAAGCTTCTTCCGGTGGCCTTCCAGAAGAGCTATAAACCTGTGTTTCCGCTTCACGGCGACCCAAAGCTGCTGGAGAAGCTGCCAGGCCTGCTGGATGTGAGAGCGGCGCCTCTACTAGCTGAAACAAAAGTGCTGAAGGCCGTGCCGCCCGCTTACATCATGACCTGTGAGCATGACGTGCTGAGAGACGACGGACTCATGTACGCCACGCGACTGGAGGAGGCCGGAGTGGACGTCACTGTTGATCACTTTGAAGATGGTTTCCATGGATGCCTCAGTTTCGCTTTTGGACCCTTTGCGTTTTCTGTTGGAAGACGAAGTCTTGGGAACTACATCCATTGGCTGAAAGAGAACCTCTAAAGACTCATATAGGCTGGGTCTATGTTAAATATATTTTAATTTTAAATTAGATTTTTAAATTTAACATACAGTCCAATATGAAAATGCTTCAAAGTTATTGCTACAAAATCTGAACAAGCATGCTGTTTTAATACAGGGAATTTATGATACATTTTTATTTAACGCTGCAGTCCGTAACTTTTTTTGTGTTCAAAATTTATATAATAAGCGAATACACCATGAATCCATTTTCCAAACCGTGTTTTTGGCTTGTCCTGAATCACTACTATTTAGACTGGTTCGGGTAGGTACCACTGTGGAGTAGCTCAGTACCTGAGTGATTCGCCATAGACATAAACAGAGAGAAGTAGCTCCGGCTACAATGTTCTTCTGCAAGATGCACGCGGTTCTGTTTATTAACCGCTAGAGCGCCAAAAGTTACAGACTGCAGCTTTAATGTCAAATGATTTATGCAGTGCAATTGGAATTTATAAACAGGTATAAAATTAACTCTAAAGTTAATGTGCATAAATACTTTAAATGCACAAGATATTATATAAATGTTTGGTTTATTAGCTTTCTTAAATTAACACACTTTCTTCAATTAAACACTGAAATTAGTTGATCTGCATATAAACATACTTAAATTAAATTTTTGGGTTATAATATTCAAAAACAATCAAATTACTCAAATAAAATGCAGTATAAAAATGAATATATACATAATAGAAAATAGAAAGATAAAAAAACAGGGTAATGAGTCAAATAAAACAAGCAGTATTTACTTTTCCAAAAAGAAAATATTAATAATAATTAATAAAAAAAAAAAGAATAGTATGGATGGGGAAATTAGTAATATATATTATTTTTGGCAAGACAGAGCTTTCAGGGACAGATACAATTTTAGATGGATAGCACATGTTCATAAAAATATGTTTATGCCATAAAATCTTTTCTCAACGCGTATCATCATGCTTACATATAACTTACGTCTGTTAAAACACAACACTACTGGGAAAATGTTCGAACTCTTGTCTGGGAATTGCAACTTCTTTGGCAGTTTCTTTGCTGCTGGCAGTCAGCAATTTTGACTTTGAGGGAATTTCCTAAAAACCTAACAGAGTGGTGGTTTAATGAAACACAAGCTGGAAGGGAGTATTTGAGGGAAGCTATCTGTCACTGTTAGTGCATGGGAAACGCCGGGGGGAGCAGATAAGCGCGGCGGAATGCGGCTCTCGCTGTTTTACTCACCTGTGAGACCTTCGCTATTATTGCATCTTTGCTTTTTTTTCTCTAATTGGGAGTGTGAGGACAATAATCAATTTCTCTTGATGTTTTACAGACACTTCCATTATTCTCAGGGAAAAGTGTAAAAAAGGGAACTGACTTTTTAAACAGATGATCTTTGTAATACACCCACATTTATGTCCTCTTTTCTAGCTCTTATTGTTTTGTAACCACTCTGCATGCCAGTTTCCAAAATGATACTACTATCTTCTTTCAGGTATGATGAGTATGTGAGACAGTGACGGCTGTAATCATGTTTCTTTTGATGCTGTGTTCAAATATAGCAATTGTTTGGGAACCGTCTTGATTATGATTTCTTGGCTACAAAATAAACCACTGACAATGACTTGCTTTTGTGAAAGATGTCACTGTTCTCCAGCACTGCACATGGGAAAGAAAAATCACAAAACTGTAATATCTTGATGTCACAAACAGAGTTGTTCCAAAAAACGTCAGGGATTTTAATATGAACATTTCTTACTAGTTATGTCATAGACCAGCTGTACTATCCACATTAATTTTCTTAATATATCACTATATGTCAACAACGTTATTTAAAAAAAAAAATTGTTTTATATTAAAATTTTTATTATTTGTATTGTATATATTTAATTATATTTTATAAAATTACCACTAAACTTAGCTGAGCCATACTATCCACAGTCATTTTATGAATGTGATTTTAATTTAATGTTTTAATGTACTTTTGTCTCAGCGTAATTAAAAATGTTTAATATTATTAACTTTTATATAAAATCTTTATAGATTTATATAAAATTTTATATTTACACATGACTAAGTTGTTTGTGAAAGAAATCTGCTGTAAAAATTAATAACTAAACTATTCTATGAAAGCCTATTTTCACCACATGGGAAAAAAAAACAATTATGACAGACATAATTATATAACATAAAAAAATGAAATTATGTGATACTAAATCATTTATGAGAAAAAAAGTCAAAATTATGACAAAAAATACTTTTTACTGTTTTTATCTCATAATTCTGACTTGCATCATAATTTAGACATTTGAAGTCAATATTTTGACTTTTTTATATAGTTAATTGTCTATAAAATGTCATATTAATGTCAAGTGGTAGAATATTGTGCTATAGCAATGCTAAGGTCATAAGATTGATTCCCAGTGACAAATTGATAAACGTACAGTATACCTTGCACCTAATGTTGCGTTGATTACATACTGAAATGAGACATAATTATATTGATTATATTGAATTTTACTGAGGTATAAAAGAGCAACGACTAAGCTATAAACATATCTGGGTGTATCTTTTTCGCTGAAATCACAAAATACAAAACAGAACAAATGAACTCAGAAATACTTGAAACAAACTTTGTCTATTTCTCTGGCGCATTTATGAAAACCTCTTATTTGATCCAGTGTTTGTTAACTTCCTTTGAAGAGTCTTTAAGAAGTTAGTTCTGTTTTTGCTTTTCAAAGATTTCCTATGTGACTGTGACATAAGGGTGAATTGCTAACTCTTTAAGTGAACATAGGCAGCGTTAGCCTGCAGGCCGAACTGAGATTATCCTGCTGACTGGAATAACCTGTTATCGTTCGTGCTTTGACAGAGAAACTGAAAAAAGTGGAGATGTTTTTATGTGAACCTACTCAAGAGTGTGACAGGGCATGTCACATGGTCAAACTTGATCTCAAGAAGCTAGATGGCAAAGTGCGAGGCAGTTCCTGTTCCCAGCAGCTACATAACCTGATACACATCTTCAAACTTTGCATAATTTGCCTTCAGGAAGAGTTTTTCATGCCAACGTCTCAAATCCCCCGTAGATTATTATGGCACCTGTAATACGAGTAGTCAATGATTAATCAGGGAAAGCTGCGTGATTATTTCAAAGGAAAACAAGACCTGAGTAGTTCACATACCTAGCGCTTGGAGGAATGTTATCCTTCACATTGTTCATTGCTTCCTGAATTTAAGGGTAGTTGCTTGCACGAAGCCAGGCCTCCCATTTTCCTGTAAAGCAGTTCATTGTCAAAGCTATTACTGCAATATTCCTGAGTTGATGACAGCTAGACACTTAGTGACTCATTAAAAATGATGTTAAATCGAAGCCTGATTTAATTTCTAACAGAAAGTTCTGTGTGGCAATGTACACACAAATAAATGGTTTACTTCTGAGCGCTTAACTGTTTTGGAAGTGAATTCAATTCGAATATGACACATACAGTGTGAACAACCACAATCGCATTTAAAAACAGGAGCAAATCCAGTAATAGATTGTTTATATTTGATGTTTTACTTCACTACATTCTAAAAGTCTGATATTTCATGTTTTACTCCACTACATGTCATAAAAAACATGTCGCTCCTCATTAATTCACTGAAGACACTGAGACCCATTCCAAGAAGCAATAGCGATGTCCGATTCACACATAAATCATTTATTTTCAGTGAAACTGCTGAATTGGTTCACAATTCGCACTGAACCATTTGTTTGCAAACTGGCCTGGGCTGCTTTTCCCAAAAGTATCATAAGCCTAATTGGCACCAAATGGTCTCTACGATCTACTTGGCTTACAATGCTTTTAGGAAACTCTGCCCAGGCTAATTCACAAATGAATCTTTCAGTGCGATTTGTGAACTGATTCAAAAACCACCATAAAGGCCTGTTCACACTAAAAAGAATGATAATGATAACTATAACAACAACTATATGAGCCTCCACACCAACGCAGTGTAACATTCTGTTTATCATAAGTCGTTGTCTGACACATTAAATGCTCGAGCTCTTTAAAGTTTTCAATGTTTTTATCATTCATCAGCTGGAAAAATATCCTTCTGAAAGTTATTCCAATGATTTGGCTCCTCTGTGTCATTATTGCAATAGTTGAGATGTGGACGTCACTATTCTTAATTAAAATTATTACTATGACAAAAAATTATGAGAATAAAGTTGAAATTATGACATAAAAAGTCATAAATGTGACTTAAAAACAAAAATACAATATGTCATGAATATCACCTTTTTATCTCATAAATATGACGTACTTTGTCATCATTTCAACTTTTTATGTCAAAACGATGACTTTTTGTCATATTTCTGATCTTTTGTGTCAATTTGGACATTTTATGTTAGAATTTTGTTTATGTCGGATTATGAATTTTTATCTCATAATTTGGACTTTTCTCCCATTCTTTTTTTTGCTAGGTTTTGAGCAGAATAATTATCTCTGAAACAGTACATTTACTTTTGATAATTAAAGAGACGGTTCAATAAAAAACAAAATAAATAAATAAAATACAAATAAAAAAACTTTCATTATTTACGCACCCTCATGTTATTCCAAGTCTACATCACTTTCCTTCTTCTGTGGAACACAAACAAACAAAATGAATAAATGTAAATGTAAATTAAAAAATGTAAATGAGTGAATAATGCCATGTTCTTGATCTATTCCTTGGTAGTGCTACAGTAATGCTGAAATGTATTTCATTCGATTAACTGTAGTTAAACTCAAGGACATGAGTTTGACCAGCTCTGGTGCTCACAGTACATCATGTACATCACTGCGTGGTCAAACTCGTGTAGACAAGACTTTCTGATGAACATTTGAGCCTGTTTCATGTACTTTTCTGTACTTGACATGTTGGCTTGCGCGTTTTCATGCAGAGTCAGAGTTTAGCTCATCTATTACACCCCACCCAAGAATGACCATTTGGCTTTCACAGCTTCTTAATAGAGAAATACTGCCAAGTCTAAAAGCACACAACACCCCTCTAAGCCTTCACATTTTCATCTTCATAAATCAACTGAGGATATCTTCTCCTCCTTAGCGGTTCGAGGCAGACTTTCTCAGCGATCTCTGACCTGAAGTGCATGTCTATTTGAAAACCTAAATAAATATATATAGCATGCATTCATTTCAGCTCTGA